AAAAATATGATATATGAACCTTGCGGTACATTGAATACAAATTCACGATGCATGATAGACGGAAAATGCTGTAAGCCATACCCTCGAACATCAGATGAAGAAGATGAGGATGTCAAAAGCTTTATTGATTCAGAAGATGGTGTAGAAGGAACGTGAAGAGGGATTAGGGACAGAACAAGAGGGAAGCGAAGAAGACGATATTGAAGAGAATACTGACTTTTATTTGGGACAAAGCCAGACGACAACACTCCTGTAATTTTGGCTTCAGTAGTGATGGTAATATTTTGGTATCCTGTGTTCAAAGAAAAAACAAAAATTCCTTCTTGTATCATCATTGCATGACGATCAAGCTATTGATCTTTCTACTGTGAAAAATCGAAACAAGAAATAATACGTTTCTACAATGAAACCAAGTTAGAAGTAGATACTGTAGATAAAATGTGCGGGTTCGTATAATGTGTCTCAGAATGTCAAACGGTGGCCCATGGTAATCTTTTTTACAATGTTAACCACTTCAGTTAATTCTTAGCTCAGACATGTAGGTAATGGGTACACAGCTCTTAAAAGAAGGTTGTTCATAAAATAACTGTCTAATGAACTTGCGCTTGGACAACTTGCTCAATGAAGACTGAAGTCTATTAGGATGCCAGTACACTTACAACAAAAATTAAAAAGATACGCTCCCAACCAAGAATAACAGCCTCAAAATTACGATGAGCCACAGATACCTCCAAAAAGAGGCAAATGTGAAACATTCTATTTGGAGACTCGTAAGAGAAGATTATGAGTGAAAAAAGTGTCGCACAGCAACCTGCCTCACATATGCTGTTTTTATGTGCCCTCCGTGCTATAAGAGAGAATTAGAAGGACAAATATCTCCTAATTAATCAGATGAATGAGAGATTATACATATGTTATAGTTTTAATTAAATTTAAATCTATAATTAGTCTTGTACAACAACTTTATAAGAGTTATTTTGCAAAATTTGCTCAATATAAATAGTTCTCTTTTAAGACTATAAAAACTGTTTTTATTGTCCCTTAAGGATTTTTTATAACTTGTGGAAGTTTAATAATAATGGATAGCATTTCATTTTTATAAGAAAAAAAAACTTATGTATAAAAAAGTTTAGTAAATCAAGAAGTGCCTCTCAGGCTCAATGCGCCCGAACGTGTTCCGAAACATATTGCGCCCGGCGGAGTTATGTATCAATCAAACTAAATATAACCCTCTCTGACTGCTCAATTTGTGGACCGAAATTGCTTCCAAGAAAAATTTTTTTTTTCATATTTTAAATCTACATACGTATATTGGAGAATTGAAAAATGCACTTTTTCTTTCTAGAAAATATTTTTTATTTAAATTTTTATCATGAGAAACTAAGTTGCCAGAAAAAGCAATTTTCAGGTGTTATCACCATAAAAAAATCTTTTTTAAAATAAATTTCAGTCGAATTACAGTTAATTTCTATTTATTGCATAATATAAAAAAGTAAAATGTATAAAATTTAAGAAAATATAAAGCACTGAGGAAAAAATACCTTAGAAATGCAGTTTAGTATGATAGAGTTCAACTTCACAGTTTTTGCACCAGATTCAATAAATCTAATTAATAATACAATAATTTAATTTCATAATCAAGATAATCGCTGAACGTTTTTTAGCAGCCATTTCTGTAAGAAAAAAGCGGCAAAAAGTGAAGTTTGAGCGTTAATACCACGTGCCTTCAAATGCCGCAATTAAGTGGACAACTAACGATATCTGTTGGCCAAAACGTAAACTAAACGCCTAATACTGTATATAATTTATAAGCAAATTTTGCTACATTTGAGTTGCCCGTAGAAATTGCGGGATGAGCAGCCAGAGGGTTAATTCTGATGTGTAGCAGTACGTTATGGTTTGTATGTGAAAAATTACGTTACGTCTATGTACAAAACAGTTATGGGATTCAAGTACCAATTCTGTCGTCGAATTGAATAAATGAGTTGATTGGATTTGGGGTAACAAATCTATTCAACTCTTTAAGTGAATGCAAAAGGCTCAAGGCGATAAACAGAAATGTTTGGAAGTTTGATCTAAGAGTTACTGGGGACGAAAATATCATTACACTGAGACATACACAGACATCACTGTAAAAAGAGTGAAAATATGCTGTGGGTATCCTAATTCGTGTGTATGCATTGGAAACTCACTACAGAATTTCTGGACCGAAAACATTAGCTATGTCCATAGCAATGATTCCCAAACTTTTTTTTGCCTCATGCACCCCTTTCACCACTGGCAAGATGATCATACCCCCCTTACAAAACTCGAAAAATGCATGTACATTTATCTAAATTTAGATGATTTTTAATGTGTTTTATAAAATACACAAAAAGTATAGAAAATATTGATAATTACCCAAACTTGAATAAAATTAGTTTTTATATTCATAAACTAAAACTTAACAGGTACACAGGTTGCTTAACAGGTAAATAATATGCTGATCACATTCCCCCATGAAATTATGAAATTCTTCCATGATTAAGAATCCCTGGTATACAGGTTGGCGAGAGGTAAAAATGGAACTAAGTTTTATAATATTGACTAAATACATGCTATATTTTAAATATATTTGCATAAATGTAATGTTAAATTCGTACTTTTGGAGTCATATTTGCGAACTATTTAGTTATACAATGATGGCAGAATAGCTGTGGATCCTCTTCACGTCCTACGTAAAGGACGTTTAGTTATTACTTATTATATGAAATTAAAAATAATTATTTTTTATCACGCTTATATAGATACTTCGCAGCAAATGAACTTATCTGTAAAGGAAATTCAAATTTCTTTGAAGTTTTTCTATAGACGGTTTATGCAGCAAGGAAAATGTAAATACATTAAATAAATATATATTAAAAAAAATTTAAAAAAAAAAAAAAAAAAACTTCCACCGCCTGTCTCCTTTCTACAGAACGAGACTGCCGGCCTTAAACCACGTGACCCCGCTCTTTAACGGAATCGTGTTCACACGCCGCGCGGTCGCCTCTGGAGCGAGACCCACTAATATCTATCTAAAGCGGACAGGATAACGAATACGCCACCCACATGCATCGCTTAGCTTCCCTCCTTTAACTGATACGCACGAGGGACTGTCGACAAAATGCGTATTATTTCAGGCATCCCTATCCATTACATGCAAAATTTATCATTCTGGTCGTCAGAGGCCCTATTTGCAGCAATAAAGGCCCAGAGCAAAACCACTTTTAGGAAGAACATCTCGGATAAAAATGACACAAATTTAATATTTTTATATGCTCTTTATTTCGTTCACTCAATGGTGTTTGTCGCTATAGTCAAAAGTTCATCGATTTTTAAACGATTTCCTGATAAGCTATCGAGTTGAAATTTTGTACACACACATTGTTTTTATCGATGGCAATACAATGCGATGAGGCAAGCGTTTCCAAATTCTATTTACATTTTTACCTTTCGCAAATTTATATTATTTTGTTATTATTATTATTTCATTATACTGGGTCGGTCCATAAGTAGCGCAACAGCCCTAGTGGGCTACGGCCTGCAGTGCCCCAAAATCTGCTTGTTTGACCTTGGGCCCCGGAGTGCATGCCCTGGACAAGCTTATCGCAGTATTTAGTCCCCAAGCGAACTTGGCACTTATTTTATCAACCCACTCAAGGGATGAAAGGCTGAGTCAACCTTGTCCAGCCCGGGGATCGAACCCCGGATCTGTTATGCGGCTGCGCGACGCGTTAGCCACTGCGCCACCGAAAAAGATTGATTAGACCTTGGGTAAAACTAGACAGCTGGAAGTGGTACTTTATAGGAAGCCAAAAACAGTCCTTATTGAAAAACCGGGAGAGGTACTTTATTTGAAGGCCATAAGAGTTTTTAATAAAAACTATATTAAAATATAATCCAAAACTTTTCAACTTTATTTAAGACTTTTATATCAATGGGAATAATCTAATTAGATTTTGGCTACAACTGATAAACCAGAAATGATACTTTACTTGGAGCTTGCTGCAATTTAAAACATAGAATTGGCGGAAGATCATGTGATAATAAGATTTCTTTTTATTTTAAAATTAACATATCAGACGGCCGGGCTGTATATGGGAACACAGATTAACCAAGATTAATAGGAACACTTCAAAGCTCTGTGTTAGGTATTTTTGAACGAGAATGACTAGTTTGGTTGTTAATGTGAATTGTCAATTAGTTTTTACACTTTTTGCGACATAATCCATAGGCTGCCAACCTTAGAATGTGAAAATGTTCTTGCACTCAATCTCAAAGTTTCGAAGAGATTTGCGCTAAGAGGTTTGTTCTTTTCAAAAGAACGCAAAATTCACTTTATACTGCATGATTCAAGCTATTTTACTATTCATAATATGATTCTGATGCAAAATGTCAGAATTCTAAATTTTTATATTCTTTGGTTAATTTCATTTTGTAATTTTCTTTCACTTACATATTGAAAAAATTCCGAGTAGGGAAAGGAAACTTTTAAATACGATAAAATCTCTATAGTAAAGAAATCTGTCCGCTTGATTGTAACTTTTACAAATCTGCCGTTTTAATATTATCTTGATGAAATTTCGCGCACTTGACCTTCGAAATAATAGGAAGGTCACAGTGTTCATAATATTTTGGTAAACCAGCCCACGGGATCCACTTTGCGAATTTAATGAAATTTTGGTTAAAAACTCAGCAATTTTAATGCTTTGTGTTGCCACTCTGTAAAGTGTAAGATAGTTATGTTTCAAATTTTATCAAACTTAGAGATTATAAGAAGAGTTCTGTCATTCTGCGAAAACGTTACATATTTTATCTTTCGATTTTAATAAACAAACTCAGTGATGTTAAAGAAATGTGCTGCCATTGACCAATTTAAAATATTTTAATCTTAGTTTCCTAAAAGCAAGTCATCGTAATTCGAGGCACAAAAACAACAGTGAAATCCAATAGACTCAAATACAGTATCTATTACTTACGCTGAGAGGTAGTCTTTGTGTATGAGAACTGCAGACACACCAGTGAGGTACCATAGGATGTTGTGGAAGGCCCACTCCAGTACTGCGTCGCCGACCAGGGCTAGCTGAGTCTTCCACGTCGAATCATAGCGAGGTCTGCCATTAGGGATATCTGTGTAGGACAGGAAGCGAGGTCGAAAGGTGAGGGCCGTCACTATTTTCGGATCCACTCGCCGTAGCTGCGACGAAACGAAAGTTATAGATAATTTTTTTAAGGAAAAAAAAAAAAAAAATCTCCATAATTTATTTAAAATTTGGTTCCTTATCTGTTCTTCTACCAGGGATGACTGCATGACTGCAGGGTCAGTGACACTTTGCCGACACGCCTATTTAGACGTCAAAATATCTAATCGATACATCCATTTAGCAGACATACAGTTATCCCGATCTTAACACAATCATGCACGAACAACATCCTTCCAGTTATGCCATTAGAAGTTCAAAGTTATATTGAGAAACGGAGGACAAGAAATAGCCTTGGCCTGAATAATATCGCATAAAGATGGTCAAAGAAATGTGCACCTTCATGTTCTTCTAGTTCCCTAAAATTACCAGTCCTATTCTTCAGCTTCAGTATTTTCGGAACAATGGAAAACGGTGATAATCGGGACAATCTTGAAGCCCGGAAAAAAACCAACAGAGCCTTTATCTTATTTATGTATAGGTCTTCTCACTTCGCAAGATTGCTGAGGCTGTCACCCTGCACAGATTGCTTGAATTTATAGAATTAAGGAATGTAAGTATACCACTACGACATGGATTCAGAAGGAAGCATTCAACAAGCCATCAACTGTGCAAAGTGACAGAACTTATTTCCAATGGTTTCCAAAATCGACAAGACACTGCTGCATTGTTTCTTGATATTTCAAAGGCTTTTTTTTTTTTTTTTTTTTTTTTTTTTTATCGTGTATTGTCGGACGGGTTACTCTACAAACAATTATCCTGGGATTTCCAGGATACATCGTACACGTTATTAACTAATATCTTAATGATCGATTTTATGAAATTTTATCGAAAAAAACTCCTTATGGACCAACATTATTGACGTTTCACTCTTCTTACCTAGCAGAAGCAAGCTTTATTCAAGTCAATAATTTACTAAGGGAAACAAGAAACAAGTTGAATATTGTTGAACGAGGTTAATTTAAAAGAATTAAGCAAGTCTATTCCAACTGTTAAAAAAAATATTGCATCTGTATATCAAGCGCAGCTGTCGCATTAATTCATATCGGGCTTTTGAGCTATTTGAATCTGCAATTTTGTTTCTGAAAACTTATTTATATAATAATAATAATAATGCAAAAATAATAAAACATATATTTAACGAATAATTTTTTTAAACTGTTCATATTCTTAGTGTAATTATTATCTTTAAGTTATTCATTTGCAACTATTAGTATTATGATTACGCCGTATTCTAAATATTATACAGAGAAATATAAGGGAGTTGATGGAAGAAAAAGGTTAGGAAAGTCCAGTTTAGAGTAAAACATGAGACAATATTTTGATAGCATATGGTCATATTTATCTGACGAAAGACACTTTCAAAACGAGAAGGTGTACGGGCAAGTATTACTACTTTTTTGTTTTTATTTCACATGCGTATAAATTTTCAAACTAAGAAAAAAAAGGGGGGGACAACCTTTAGGTTGGCGTAGATTTTGAAATCGACTGCAAGGGCATTCAGCTCCATTTATTTTAAGCGCAACAAATAGTTCTTGTAGAAGGGAGAAACGCGAAAAGAATCTAATACGAAAAGCAATTCCGAAATTATGCATAAATTCAAATTGTCATTTCTTCGTCACATTCCCTTGAACGTTTGTCTAAAATTAAGTATGAGTGATCCCTTTTTATCAGAAATTTGTCAATTCGATTTCAGGTTTTATATATTGATCGTAGATCTTCTGTTTAAAGTAAAATATTTTCTTGTTTGCCTGCCTCTACACAAGAAATCATATCATCCTACCGCAACAGGTTCCACTTTCTGAAAATGAAACCAGTCTGGCAAATGTCGTCTCGTAAAACATACCTACAAGCCGCTGAAATGCAATGTTCCTATTACGTTAAAAATGCCAGTTTTACTAAAACACTGTTGCATATTTTCATCTAAATCAGGGCTTTTTAAACTTTTTTCAGTCGCGACCCCTTTTTATCAGAGATTTTTTTCGCGACCCCATAATATTTACGAAAATTTTGTGGGACCCCATAAGCATTGCGCAAATCCGACACACGCGTGAATGAAACCGTCAATTTTTTTCACTTGTATTGTAATATACTATTGTAGTTTTTAGGTCATTAATTTAATTTCTAATTTTAAGACATAGAACAATGTGAAAATTTTAAATAAGTAACAAAAATGACAGAGCCACGTGCAAAGCAATGTAAAATGAACTTTTATACTCTAAAAAGAATGCGTCGAAACGTTTTCGTTCTTTCTTTGTCTGCATTGTCTTATCTTTATCTATTTTCAGACACATTGTGTAAAAAGATTTGTTAATTGTAAAATTATTATAATAAGTTAAAGAAATATCAAAACTGCTAAGATTTTTTTGCGACCCCTGCTGAAGGTCCCACGATCCCGATGGGGGTCGCGACTCACAGTTTAAGAAACTCTGATTAAATGTAAACGTTGTCAGGTAAGTGCCCTATTGGTTAAATCAGAAATTCCTTTTTCTTGGGCAAGCCTCTTTTAAAAGTATGGCTTTCCTCTTCTTCGCCAAACTCCCTTACAGTATAAAACAGCATAAACCCTCACAGCATAAACCCTTACAGCATAAAATCATAATACAAATATTTGCACATAAATAACTTTCTTCAGCTTCTTTTTCCTAAATTAGAGAAAAAATATGAGCAAAAGTTTTGGAAAATGTTGATTTAACTAAAGCCTTCTTCCATTAGGTAAGAAGAAAGAAAAGTCATTAATGTTGGTATGGTAATAATTTTTATTTCGGAATATTTACTTTGTGTGATTTTGAAATTTGAAAACTCAGCTTATCCACGTTTTTTGAATAAAATTTGATTTTTGTATGACATAGCTTTATATTAATAAACAATTAATTATCAATTTTATTAATTTTTATTTATTATTATTGCAATCAATGGGATCTTGATTACGTCCATCACTTGATGGTGCATATTCATCTGTCGGAACACCCAACAGCGTTTAATCTCCATTAACTCCATACCTTTTACATTTCAACTATCCCACGGAGTGCATAGGGAATGCCTGACCTAAGTGGACGTGGCAGCCAAATGTCCTATCGGCTCAATAAACGTATCAGTTAAGCAGGTGTGTCGATGACATTAGCAAAACTGTTACAGAGTGAAAATTTGCAAAGCGTATTATAAATTTCTCATTTACAAAATCTTTTCACTTCCTTGTACGAAGTAAAGGAAGTACTGTATTCGTCAAAAATTTCGGGTATCAACGGAAATATTCATTTCGGTCGTTCCCGAACCCATTTGGACGATTTTGTTTTCGTAACATCTATACACATATGGACAGAATAAATTCTTTTTCAAAAATGGATTCAAGCGAGATTTGTTTCGTGACGTCAGCACGTACATATATATGTATGTACCTCGCATAACTCAAAACCGATTAGCAGTAGAACGTTGAAATTTTGCATGTGGAATTTTATTTATAGTTAATTTAATTTATTAGCACAAAGGGGAGGTAGCCTAGAAAGGCTGCTAGTTTTGAAGCGGATTTTTGTGCTGTTTTACTATAAATGTCCATGTCTCTTTGCAAATTGTTGTTACCAAATATTATCGCCCTGTATTATATTTAAAGAAATTAAATAATGAAGAATCTGCATGAATACATGTATGTTTCTCGCAATGTGACAAAAACGACAGTATCTAAAGCCATCAAATTTTGAATAATGTAATCCTCCACCCGAACATGTGCAACTGGACGGCCGAATTTTGAATTTGTTTTAATCTATTTCATATTTTGTAAAACGTTAACGAATTTTTCATTAACAAAGGTTCCTTTTGGGCATAATATAAAATCTGAGTGCTTCTAGATTTTATTTTACCTTCGCCCCCCCTTCATTACACTCAGAAAATTTTTTGCTTCGAATTTTATAAATTACTAAAATAAATATTCCACTTTAATGTTAATAAGTTAATGATAATCAAATAAATGATTGTTTTGTAATGTTATTATAGTTTTGAAAATCACTGCCTGAAAATGGTCATTAAATTAAAAAAAAATATCAGATCTTGTTTAATTTTACCTTATTTATTTCAAAGCATCACGTACTATCAATCTTATTTAATTTTACGTTATTTGTACGCAAAATTAAGTTCATAAATTTTGTGCGTAGAGTTTTTACCGTTTTACCAAAGTATGGATGTTTGTACAAGAATTACACGTAAAAAAAAATGCGCGAAATGCAGTAAAAAGTGCTTTAATGAGATATATTAAATCCTATTTGGAAAAAACTGTGGCTTTCATGATCTCATCACTATAAAACATATCACATTTAATAATTAAAAAGCGTTATGTGATACAAACGCCATAGGTTTCAGTGTTAAAGTAAACCAGATCGTCCCTACTCTTTCTTGCCGACATGTCGGTGACACGCGCCCCCACCCACTCGGTTAGTCTATTTCTTATAAGGTCCATGGGACCTTTTCTGTGACGTCACTTTCACCCGAGTAAGGATTTTTTAGTCGGTTAAGGGGGGGGTATGTATATACATAGGCATACTTTGGCACTGCGAACTGCAGTAAAAAAGGGATGTTCACAACTAAAAAAAGATGTTATAGCAGTCCCATTGGCAAAATTTCAACGTTCTACGGCTATTGTTTTTTAGTAATGTGAAATATCGTTACATACGTACGAATGTGTAGACGTCACGGAAAAAAAAAAAAAAAAAAAAAAAAAAAAAAAATTAAAATCTATTCTAGGAAGGGGGGATCTTCATTCTGTCTGCACATACAGAAATCACGGGGGAAGGAGAAGAATGGATACTTCCATTTAATATGATACCCGAAATTTTTTGCGATTGCAATACTTGCTTTACTATAAAGAAGTTAAAATAAATAAACCTTCTCTTGAAGAAGAGGATTTGTAGTTGATTGCAATGGAACAATATACGAATTTTAAACAAAACTAAGGCTGCTTTGTCGTCTAATGTTAAAACTTACCAAATCTTTGTCAAAATTTTCTCCACATTACTTCCTTTGAAATAGGATCAATAACTCTAAAAACACATTTGAAGGCGATGAACTAAATTTAAAAAAAAAAAAAAAAAAAGTTTTCCGGTTTCGCGGAAAAGACTAGCAATTTTGAAAACGGGTGAAAGAGTCAAATATAAAAAACAATGTTTTTTACCTGATAAATGAAAGAAGGGTAAAAGGAAGCGACCAAAGCCATTTCATACAACTCTTTATGCTTACGAAACATATCACGGACAACTGCTACGGCCTGCAACAAAAAGAAAAATAAAATATCAGTAAAAAATAATCACGTTACTTAATAACATACAGACGTACAGACTACATAATATATACAGACTTGCCATTTTAAGAGTACGAAACAGAAAATTTTTTAAAAAAAATTTCAGTATTAAAAATTAAAGAAATCTGAAATGTTTCATACTAACTAACGGTCGCCCAAAAGGCCTTCGTGGTGGTCTGCACGCTGGGCGCGTATGCCAGAAGTCCGCGGTTCGATTCCCGGCAAAGGCGTTGCTCATTTTTCATCTCTCTCGCTTCCAAAATAACCTAATGTCTCTACAGCTTTACCTAAAATATCTGATGTTGACACCACATGACTTTCTTGTGCAGCTTATTAAATTACACATATGACATCAAAAATTACAAATTCTGAAATTAAATATACCGGTCAATTTTTTTATTCTTCAAATTCTTTTCTGGAATCAAACTTCTTATAATTTTACATTTTCATAACGAGTATAAAACTTTCCCAAAATAAATACAGTCAAAAGTCGTTAATTCGGACACCCATAATCCGGAATGATCTATAATCCGGACCTCAAAGCTAAAAACTTCTGCGCATATGCCGCGTTGACACATGCACATAGGCGTTTACGTGTGCGCGTAAGACCTTTACGACTGCGCATATGAGTGTGCGCACGCGAAACAGAATACGTTTTCGCGTGCGCGTTTAATGTATAACGGACGGTATAAGCTAAAATTATCTAATTATCTATTTCAGTTAATGTTGATTGATTGCGTTGTTCCTTAATCTTCGAATTGGATCGAGCTTATTATTTTTTGCAGACTGTAAGAGCGATTTTATAAAAGTAAACTTGAACTTTCGATTATGTCAAATAGAATTTCCGATGCTGGAGCTCCCAAAGGATCTACAAAACGAAAGTATGTTTCGATGTTCATCAAACAAAAAGTGGAATTGCTGCAAAAAGTGGATAAAGACATGAAGAAGGTGACAGAGAGGTTAGTGAAAACGAAAAAATTTCGATTGACAAGTTAGTCGGTATTCTCGGCACAGCAATTACGGGACTTGAACAGCGGAAGTTTGTAACGGAACAAGAAATTATGTCTGTTTATAGAATTAAAGAGAAAGTATTATCACATAAAACGAAGCAACTTAAACAACTTACAATGAAAGCAATGTTTATTAAAGTAAACAAATAAATATTAAGCTTTTTTTTTTTAATTTTGATACCCTTTAGATCATAATTGTTCTTTATTTCATAAATTACGGTTTCATATTTTTAATTTTAGAATTTCTGCATGCCATCTTACGAGATTTAAACTGATGATCTATAATCCGGAAAAATCGATAATCCGGAATCGCCGAAGTCCCGGCGAGTCAGGATTAACGACTTTTGACTGTATACGAACCGGGAGACCGCATTAAAAGTTTATTTCGTTATTTGTCCAAAATGATTTTTTTTAAATTTTAACATAGCCGAAACATTAATATTTTCCTCATTAAAACATTTCTGTCTGTCTCTATATAGCCGAGTATATATATATATATATTAAAACGAAACAGGGTAAAGAAAAGCAATTAAGAAAATAATATAGAATAAATTGAGCGAATTAATGGTACTGAAAATTTAAAAAAATTCTTAAAAAGTTAAAACAAAAAATGGAGACAAAATAATATTTGCTAAACTATATTAACTACTGCGATAAAATTGACAACAACGTGGAGAAACCTTTATTATTATCTTCAGACTTTTAGGTTGTCAAAAGAAGGTAAAGCCATCTTATGATAAAACACTTTTTCTGGGCATATCTATTCTGTTTCCGTAAGCTTAAAATGATCCGAGGCACTGAATTAAGAATATAAATACTTTTAGTATCCGTGAAAATTAAAAACTCCTCTCCTATTGAACAAATCTATCTCATGGAAAAATATATTTATTGGTATCAATCCTATATATGCGAATAAAAAGTGAAAAAATTCAAATAAAGCTTAAGTAATATAAACAAATGAAACTCATATAATTTTTAGTCTATTATACTTTGATAATAAACCAAAAAAAAAAAAAATCTGCGTCATTGTATATAGAGGAAAAAAATAATTACAACTGTGCATACAGAGCTAAGAGCTTATTTTATATATTTTTACGAATTTAAGTGTTTATTAGTATACATACGCAATTATTTCTAGACAAAAAAGTAACAAATTTTAAATAAATACCAAAAATACATGAAGGAAATGAAATTTAAAACCATCTTCCCATAAAAAAGTAAAAAGACCCATCAACTCAGTGCTTTTAAACCAGAAGAAACCGCGAAAACATAGGAGATATATAAAAATACATAAAAAAGGAGAAGGAATATATTAAAATCTGATTCATCATTATCAAGAGGAGGTAGATCAGATCTCAATCGAAGTAAACTTCTTACAAAAACCACTGTGTCTCTGTTCATCTAAAATTAGCTGATGAATCATTTTAAATTATTTAATTATTATAGTTCATCCGAAGATTCCGAATCGCCTAATCTTTTTTGAGTTATAAGGGATATATATACGAACATACGTACGTACATAATTCACGAATAAATCCATTTTGAATCCATTTTACAATACATTTTGAAAGTAAGAACCTTTTATTCTGTCCCTCTGCACAGATGTCAAGTAAAAAAATAGTCAAAACGAATTCGGGAACAGTGAAAATGCATATTTCCGTTGAAATATGATACCCGTAATTTTTCACAATTACAATACTTCCTTTACTTTCATGCAAGGCAGTAAAAAAGGGTTAATTAAGATTTATGTTTTGATTATTTTTGGTATTATTATTATTATTATTAACACAGTAACATAGTTAAAAAGTAGTACCATAGACAAATGCATCTTGATTTCTAAATTAAGTCATTCTATTGCGGAATTATTGACATAATATGATATATTAAGATAAAGATTCACTTTTTTATAATTCTACTTAGTGATACTGAAGAAGGATAACTGATGGTTTTGGGAATAACAGATAAAGAGCATGATAGCGTGCCAAAGAATTTCATTTCGATTATATTTAATAATATTTGAAAATGAAAATTTACTCAGCGATTAAAAAGCGATATGTTACCGTTCGGAGAACCTAACATATTTATGTTTCAATTTAAATCACAAACTCAGAGATTTAAAACAAATGTGTTGCCATTCGGCAAAGCGCAAGATATAAGATAATAGAATAAGCGATTTAAAAGCAATGAATGATGTAGTTTTTAACTTTTGTTATTATTAATGATTAGTTCCCCCTTTAAATGAAACTAGCTGCACTTATGAAAATCATTACAGATTTTTTTTCATTATAAAAACGATTTTAGGCTGCTGTCCACGCAAGCGACGAGTACATTGGTTCTCGATCTTTTTTTGCCCCATGCACCTCTTTCACCACTGCTAGACGATTTCCTCCTTCCTTTCCCAAACTCGAAAACTACATATACATTTATTTAAACTTAAATTATTTTTAATGTATTTTATAAATTAAACAGGACAAAATATACAAAATGTTAATAAATACCAAAGTTTGAATAAAAGTAGTTTTTTATATTCAAAAACTAAAATTAAATACTTAACAGGGAAATTAAAAGCTGATTATATACCCACTCTGAAATATTTTGGGGGGATTTGCCCCTAATTGATAACCCCTGGGCTAGAAAAATTAGATAAATAAAAACCCTCCGAACGGTACTGGCTGAACTTGGGGGAAAAATGTCCAGCCTGAATTAAGAAGAGCCCTCAATCGAACAATAAATACTTCAGAAAATCGCAAACTCTCATTCAGCAATCCCGCCATTCATCAAAGGGAGGCCTGCCATACGGCCTATACCGTTCCTACTTTAGCTGCCTATCGAATGGCAGCAGCTTGAGTTGAAGGCGAGTGGCTGAGTTGAGCGGAGTGATAATTAATGCTCTATTGGGATCGTATGGTCGGTTCGGCGACACGTACGGCTCGCGTCCGGCACACGTGCTGCGAGTGACACGAAAGCGGCGACCGGTCAGAGTGGACCAGCTGCTGTGCCTTTTGTTGCTGTGTCATCGAAGGGGATATGAGATGATTCTATCTCGAAAATTGATTTCTTTCCTTTCCCTTTCTTGTCATTAACACAATGAGCAGGAGCTGTCTGTTACAGGCGGGGATTCATATATAATTCTGCAGTTGGACTCTTCTTGCTGTTTCGTTGATGACGGCAGCAGAGTTGTTTCTATTCCATAAATTTGAGATATTTAAAAGTGATTCCTATGCTACAGATGTGCCCATACTCAATGAGGCAATGAATTGGCAAAAGAAAAGTACATGGAAACAGATACAGCTTCTGTTTCGAAAAGCAAAATATCCGTATTTCTCAAATCACAGTGAAGGTGATACTCAGAAGAATTAATCGAGTTATTCATTTCCTTGTTCCTCAGTGCACTTTTTGCGGCAGTTTTTCATTCCCTTCTTCCCCCCTATTTCCAGGTTATTTTACTTCAATAAATAAATACAGTCGAACTATAATACTGTTA